TCCATTACAGGGTTACCCCCAGCATCGAGGTTACCACTACTCATTTGTACACCTGGGTGGAGATCTGTTTCTCACCCAAGAACGCAACACAATGTCCCCGACCAGACCTCAAGCCTGGACTGTTCGATCTGGATACGAGCTCACTAACCATGAGGGCACTGCACCTCAAGCTGACCAACTGCAGTGTGCCCTATTCCTTGAACATTTTTTAAATGAATAAAAATTAGTTAATTATGACAAATTATACTTACTGGGTCTCCTGCTGGTCCTGGAGGTCCAGCATCTCCCTTCATGACAAAAAGGAAAATAAGAAAAAAAAAAGAAAAAAAAGGAGAAAAAATTATAAAAAGGAAAAGAAGGAAAAAAAAGGCAAGTACATGTAGCTGAGTAGCAAGCATTCCTGTAACGTTTCTGTATGAAGAGCTTTTCTGCATTCTGGGAGCATGTTAATTGGAGCCAGAGCAAAACCCATCAAAGCAGGGGGTCATGGCCACCACCCCCTCCATCATTGATTTATTTTTTTCTCATTCCAATTTCTTCACTGCCAGAATGCGGAGAAGCTCTTCATACAGGAACACTTGCTGTGTAGGCTATAAGGAAAGGTCTGTAGTTTATTGGTTGCATGGTTTTTATATTTACGATTGCGAAAAAAAGGAAGTTAGATTTGTAAGTGATGAAACAAAAATAAGGAAAGGCCTGTAGTTTATCTGTTGCATGGTTTTTAAATTTATGAGCGAGATAAAAAAGGAAGTTAAATTTTTAAGTGATGATACAGGGATCCATATTTGCAGTTGTCTGGTTGTCCAAGACAAGCAAAAAATTGTACGAACTACCAAAACAAAATAGATAAAAAACTTATCCACTGGATGAGTTTAGTTTGACTCTACCAAAACAACATTTTTTAAAATTTTCTTCCTAGTTTCCTGCATTCTGATTGACTTCTCATCCATTTTGAACTTTTAGAAAACAGAGAAAGATTTGCAGCTTTCTTTCGTGATAAAATCATCATTTTTGGTCCACCAGCTGGGAGTTTGCTCACATGAAAATAACAAAAAAGTAAACCTTCCATTTACATGTTGTTCAATTTCAATTCTTCCCTTTTGAATGGACAAGTAAAATTTTGGCAGGTCAAGTATGTCTTCTGGCATACTTGCCAGGCTTACGACTTGGAGAAAAAAAACAAAATAGATCTCTGGATGAAACAAAAATATGTAAAAGTCAGCAATTTAATGATTGCATTGTTTTTAACTTGGAAAATAATATTTTCTAAGTTGTAGGTAAGGATGCAAGATTAACTTGATCCTTCCTTCGCTCCCTGTTAGACTATCTGTAAATCTGCTGATCAATGTAGGGGTGGTGAATGGTAAATACAAGACTTTGCCAGAAGACAAGACTAACGTTTTTCTTTTTGAACCCGAGACATTTTGATTTCTTCAGTTGTGAGACCAAGAATTCAGAGTGTTTTAAACGCGAGCTCACAACGTTCAGGTTCCAAGATGTTCAGATGTCTTTCAACTAATAAAAAAATAAACAACTTTCTTAGCCTCAAAAAAAAATTGAGACTGCAAGACGTACATAACTTCCAAAACAACAAGACTGCAAGACCCATGAAATTCGGCAAAAGTTTTGCAAGACCCATGGTTTTTGAAGGACCATTTGCCACCCCTCAATGTACAAGGTTTTCACAGTCATAGTCAAGTTGAAGTTATATTCAACATGGAGGTGAACTGATTTCCTCACAATGAGTAGTTTAAATTCAAAACACATCTGGGGAATAAGAAAGGGCTAATGTAACAAGGAAATGGCAGGAGGAAAACTTGGATTTGATTGTTTCTCTGAGTTTTAAGGAACAGAATGTCTAAACAATGTAAATTTATTACATATATTTGCACTTGACCTTTTGAAAGCTGAAAAAATTGATGCAAATTGCGTTATAAGTGTAATAATAATAATGCATAACATAACGCATATAGCATGGGGAATGTCACATTTTTTGATACAAAATCATTTTTGGTACAAAAAGAAGTTAAACTTAATTTTTGTTTTAATAGGGGGAATTGATAATTAACTTGTACCTCCTGGTTTTCTAAGTTGAGTGGCTCTTAAGCCACTTTGATTGAACTTGAGACTGCTCAGGGTGTTTGGCTTGTTAGTGAAGAAACACATGATAATTATTATTTTGTACTGCATAAGCTCACCTGAGGACCAGTAACATCAACAGCAGAACCTTTTTCACCCTTCATTCCAATGCTACCAGACAAGCCCTAAGCAAAACAAAAAAAGCATAGAAATATACAAGTGTACTACAGTGAAACCAGTACTTAAGGGGACCCGATATTAAGTGGACACCCTGTATAAGTGGACACCAGTTAGAGTCCCTAAATTTTCATCCCACAATTACTGTAAAATAACCTTGCTTTCAGCTGACACCTCTGTTTAGCAGATGTGGACACCAATATTGAACCATT